GGACCGGACTTTTTGCACTTGCCCCCCACCAGGTGGCCGAAACTCGACTTGGACTCCTCTTCCATTCCATCTGATGATGCAGAGGTGAAAAGGGAACTTAAGGTGAATGTTGTTACAATACACAGTGACAATCCTCTCAGTCAGCTCGTTCACTATTTTTCATCCTGGAGAAAGCTTAAAACATCAGTGGCCTGGCTGTTGGAGCTGAAAGAAAGACTTTTACTTTTGAGCCGAAAGAGAAAAGAATATGTGGTCAACCAGAATGAGAATGTGGAAAAGGAGATTAAAAAATTCAAAGCCGCACTTGGAAAATCCAGCTTGACACCAGAGCGCTTGGAGGAAGCTGAAAAGGCAATAATTCAGTTTGCACAAAACAAAGATTCAGTACTGAAATTTCCTCACTAGAACATGACCCAAAGACTGTTTTTAAAGACAGTCCTCTGTATCGCCTCGACCCCTTCATCGAAGATGGCATCCTCAGAGTTGGTGGACGTCTGTTTAAATCTGCACTGCCGTGGGAGGTAAAGCATCCTGTGATTCTGTCAAAGGATTTGCATGTTTCCCAGCTCATATTGCGTTACATCCATTGCCAACTTGGACATGCTGGACGCAATCACATGCTGCACAGATTGAGACAGAAGTATTGGATCATAAATGCCAACTCTGCGGCCAGGAAGATTCTCTCACAATGTACAGTGTGCAGAAGGTACAGAGGAAAGCTTGGAGAACAGAAGATGTCCGACTTACCGGAGGAAAGAGTTGTGCCTGATAACGCACCCTTTACAAATGCGGGAGTGGACTATTTTGGACCATTGGAGGTGAGGAGAGGTAGAACTGTGCTGAAGCGATATGGAGTGATATTTACCTGTATGAGTAGCCGCGCAGTACACCTTGAGGTGGCGCATTCCCTCGACACGGACTCCTGCATCAATGCTGTGCGAAGATTTATCTGCAGAAGAGGACCTGTGACAAGTGTAAGGTCAGATAACGGCACAAATTTTGTTGGTGCGAAGAAGGAACTGAGGCAAGCATTGGCCGCTTTAAATCACTCTAAAATTGAAAGGACTTTTGTGCAGGAAGGAATGAGATGGAGTTTTAACACCCCAGCTGCATCTCACCAAGGTGGCGTTTGGGAGCGTCTGATTCGCTCTGTGCGCAGTGTACTTACCTCTGTTGTTGGACATCAACTGCTGGACGAGGAAGGTCTGCAAACGCTGTTTTGCGAGGTGGAAGCGATACTCAATGACCGGCCAATAACTAAGGCTTCAGAAGATCCCAATGATTTAGAAGCGCTTACTCCAAATCACATTCTCCTGTTAAAAGGCAAGCCCATTCTGCCATTAGGTCTGTTCGAGAAATCTGATCTGTACATTAAGAGGAGATGGAGGCAAGTGCAGTACGTTGCGGAACTTTTCTGGAAAAGGTGGACAGCAGAGTATTTGCTTGTAATGCAAGAAAGGCAAAAATGGACGAAGCAAAAGAGAAACTTTATTCCAGGAGATATTGTCGTAATCGCTGATGCCACAGCTCCAAGAGGCTCATGGATGATGGTCCAAACGAAGATCAGCATCCTGGACAGACCAATAACCAAGCTCTGTCTTCTCTTGGAGGCTAATAATTGACTAGACGACTCATTCTTTCTCCTATCTCTGTCTTCCATCTGTTTGTTTCTTTCAGATATGGAGAATCTGAAGATGTGAAGATTCCAGTTTAATGTTTAAGCTACAATTAGAAAATAGCTCCTGTGTGTTAAAGCTAAGGTTAATTGTGGGTAAAGTACCGTTACAATTAGGGGCTGGGTTGTTGGAGCTATATTCTTATTTTTGTTTATTTTGGCTTAAGTTAATTTATAGCCCAATTTATTTCTTTTCTTTTCTTGTTAAAGTTAATTTGGTTTATTTTGTAGTTATGCTTTACTTGCATTGTCGTTTGTTGGTCACATGGTGTTATGTTCATTTGCATAAGTAGGTCAAGGTGAGAGGTGCCGCAGGCACGAGGGCATATGGTTTTTTACCAGCGTGAGAGAGGCAGCAGAAATGTCTGTAAGCTTGCTTATGTGTGTGAATAAACCTCCTCAAACTCAGTCTTGTTATGGACATTACCTTGCTTTGGTACCTCTGAACCTGCGTAAAGCCTAACCATGACGTAGCCTCAAGTGGCCATTTGAGAAGTTTGTTATTATTTGTTTTTGTTTAAGTTTATGGACAAATAGCCACTACAATTATTATTATTTGAGGTAATCAGTTTCCACAAATATTGTGAGTATTCTGATTTGTTGGGGTTTACAGTGTGTGATCAACAGCTGAACCAAGACTTCCTGTTGCTGTTCGGTGCTGAAACTGCCTCCAAGATGCTGAAGAAGTGGGACACAGCATTCAAGCCCAAGGTCAGTGAAGAGGCACCTGAATCAGTCGGCCGAGTTGTGGCGACTTCTGAAAGCTGCTGAGAGACTGACAGAGAACGATGACACCAGTACGCTACGTGACCTGCTTTGTTTATATTCCAAACAGCTGGTGCTGTTTACTTTGTGCATTCTGTGTAGATACTAGATAATGACTGCTTCTCCTTTGTATTCCCTCCTTATAGACAGGGACAGTGTCTCCATCTCTGGCCACCCACAGCTGGACGCAAGAGGATCAAAATAAGTGCCAGTGATGCCGGGGACAAAATGGTGCACTTTCACAAGCTACATTTGTTCTAATCTGTTGAAACTGCAGGAGCCAGTTGTTTACTTATATTAACTCAATAAGAGACAACTTGCAGTGGTATTTTCTTCCCCCAGAGATGTACGGGAAGTAAGCAATAAACAGAACGCTGTAAACTTAATATTTGCTCAACAGCAAAGACTTCTTGGGGCCACATGAACACACATACACACACCAATGCAATTTACCATCGTCTGTTTAGCAGCTCTAACTTTTCTAGTGTCACACAGACTTATGCAGTGAGTAGCTGAAAATCTGCTCAGTGTTCTTCCCCCTGTGAGAGTTCAGATTCCTACGTGGGACATAGTTCCAGTAGAGTGCATGTTCTCACGACACAGGGGCCCCTAACTGGACCAGAGGAGGATCTATAGCATCGCATGGAGCAGCAGAACCACTGTGTGGAGAAGAATCTAAAGAGTTACTTGGAGGTGTTCATGTTATTGTTCTGTTTTTCAGTCCTGCTGCAGCGCTGATGAACACCTGCGGGGAAGAGATGGCAAACAAGCCTACATCCTCGCTGTTGGCCGGACCCAGAACAGGACCGACACTCTCTACATCGTCGTAGACAAACAGCTCGTCCCCTGCCGCTCCACCGGCTCGTTGGCTGCTTTAATGAACTGTTTGAATCCCACTACGTGTTCAGCCTGAGTCATGACGAGTCCCTGGTACAGCTCTACACTTTAGTGCAGACGGCGGTCTACAACATCGATGTTACGACAACAGATGAGTCTCCAAGAGTTTGTGAGTTCAAACTGCTGAACCAGGGTGAAAAATGTTGAGCTGTTTCATTTGTCAAGCTGTTGATGTGGCTCGTCAGTCCTTGATAACCCGTTGAAGAATGGATCACAGCTTCTATCCTAGCACCAGGTTTAAGTTGTTTTGTGCACCAGAACGTTGTAGGCGTCAGTTTTCAACATATTCGGCTCTCAAAAAACATCTAAGCAGTGTTCATGAGAAGGATCTTTCTCAAAGTGGTGATGCAGCAAACTCAGAGTCATTTCAAGCTCATTTCCACCGTCTCCAAGATTCTACAGACGCTGGTGAAACAAGCGCCACGCTGAGTCCAGAGGCCAGGTGTTTTGAGGACAAGGGATCAGCTCCTAAAGAAAATATTTGCGCTTCAATCCTTGCTGAACTCCGAGGAAGTGGGACAGCAGATAGTTTAGTTTCAGCAGGTGTTAGTGATTTGGAAGAGCTTGCTGCTGGACTGCACTCCCAAGTTAAACATGAAATACTGTCTGCTGTGCCTGAAGATGATCCTCTAAGATCTACTTTAGTAGACACAATAGATCATTTTGAAAATCCATTTGTTGGCTTTAACACTGAAAATAAACAGGTGAACCTTGTAGGTGGGCTGATTAATCAGTGACGATCGGAGTCACACAAACACACTGAGCCATGAAACTTTTTGTTGCCGCAGCTACCAGAATTACAGTGTTTCTGCCCTTGTTCTACGTCATTAAACCACAGTTCTGCTGTGCCATCATGTGCAGTAGATGCAGGTGCCAACAGGAAGTAGCCCTGTAGTAGAATTTCATTGGTCCAAAACTGGCTTCACTGCTCTCCATTCAAATCAGCGGGGTGGCTTCGTCCAGTATTATACTGTCTGTGGCTGAATCACTAACTGTGTGAACGGGAGGGTTCGTCACGGATCAGGTGAAAGGTCATAATGTGGGTCATTTTATTTACTGCGAAATTATTATTAATTCATTTTTCTAATAGTTTGATTCGGCAGGGCTTCACAAAACGACCTTTACAAATTTAATTAGTTAATTAATTAAATTTGTCATTGACAAAAGGGCACTTTGGGCATCAAAGAGCAAAAGGGCAGGTGCTCAGGCACCCATTGCACCCCCCTCTGCATGTGCATGCTGCTCGAAACCTGATATTTTAAAGAGCAGATATTGTGAATGGACCAATCAGCAGCAGACACTCCCAGGCTCTGCCTCTGAATCCAGCCAATCATAAAGAGACACCTTTGGGACACGCAGAGATCCTCTCAGGCACAGAGCACCCACTCCAACACAAACACAGGTTAGGAAAATATATATCGTTTTGTTATGTTTAGAGTTTTGCAAGAATATGAAAATATTCCAATGTCTCTATATTTGTCTCTATTTCTGAATCACATGAACTGAATGAAACAAACATTTCAAAGAACATTTCTTTCTTTCCACTGTTGCTCTTCACATTACCTGACTTCCTCCTTCCCTGACCTGCCCCACCTGTTTCTGTAAATGTCACAGAACTGTTCAAATCGAAAGTAAAGTTTTCTCAGCGGTCGGCAGATTATCAGGAGGAGGAAAGGGACAGCTGGCTGTGAACTCATGTCCTCACTGTGTTTCTGAAGACTTCCTTTAGTGAGAAGCAGATTAACTTTGTGCTTGTTGGAGTTTCTACAGGAAGATGAAGATGTTTGTGGTGTTTGTGATCCTCGTGCACGGTAAGATAACCTTCCTCCCTCTGATCTGATCATCACCTTTTAATCTGGGTTTCTGTCATCTTAACTAGGCTGTCACCAATAAAGTGAAATACTGACCAAGCGAACCGCAGAGGATGGCTAACAACACGCAATGTTCATACTTTCTTGCTTGACACTTTAAAAAACGCGTGTTACATGAGTAAATTAGTGCTTCAAAAATTCCACAGGTGTAACACTGCTGTAGGTCGATAAGATGATTCACAGGACGGGTCTTTACCTGCTTTCTCAATTGATCACTGATCACAATCTCTGTCTGGTTCCTTCTCTCCTGTTTCTCAGGTTGTTTGAAGGTGAAATCTGTATGTGTGTGAGAGTGTTTGTGTGTGTGTGTTTTGATTTTTTTCAGAGTGTTCTAATGAATGCAGTTTCATGTGATCTTTTAATGTTGATTATTGTTAAATTATTCTAATTAATGCAGTTTCATGTGATCTGATTTGAAGTGACATCATGAGGAAGAAGAAATGCAGTTTAAATCATTTTTATTTCTTTATTGTTTCATTATTGTACTGATGAAAAGTTGGACTGACTTCAGTGTTTAATGACATAAATCTCTGTCAGCTGTTTGTGTCTCTGACATTAAAATGTTTTCTTGAACAGAAAAGCTTGTGTTTCCTGACGGCTTCAGTAATTTTTAGAGATTGATAAAGAAGTTTAGTTCTTGTGCAGATAATCAACAGGACTGAAGGTTCAGCTTTCTGTCTGTCAGTCTGAGACAGAAACTGGACCAACAGCTCTGACAAACATGAGGAAGCTGAAGCTCCTCCTCTTTCCTCAGAAGAGATCTGTGGTGATCTGGACTCATTCCAGAGAGCTGCTTTAACAAAGTCTGAACCTGAACAAGATCCAAGTAACACAATGTGCTTCACTTAAAATAAACAAGGACAATGACAATAATGCCACCCCCACTCCCTTCCAACTCACAAAATAAGGAATAATACAAATATGAGAACAGGAGAATAAAATACAATAAAAACTGTATCGGTAAAAAGAGTAAAAATGTAAGTACATAGATAAATAAAATAAACACAATCCAACTAGAAGCCTGGTTAAACAGGTAGGTGTTTAGTTTGCTTTTAAAATATCTCTGCTGCCCTCAGGAAGGCCGTTACAAAGACTTTGGTCATAGTAAATAAAAGGACACCTCAACATCAGTTTTCATCTTTAGGGACTTAATTAAAATGCTTCTACCAGAGGACCTGAGGTTTCTGAAGGTTCATAAGATAAAAGCAGATCTGATATACACTCAACGGCCACTTTATTAGGTACACCCATTTAATTGCTTGTTAACTCAAATAGCAAATCAGCTGATCACATGGCAGCAGCTCAATGTATTTAGGCGTGTAGACATGGTCAAGACAACTTGCTGAAGTTCAAACTGCTGATCTGCTGGGATTTTCATGCACAACCATCTGGGTTTACAGAGAATGCTCTGAAAATATCCAGTGAGCGGCAGTTGTGAGGACGAAAATGCCTTGTTAATGTCAGAGGTCAGAGGAGAAAGGGCAGACTGGTTCGAGATGACAGAAAGGCAACAGTAACTCAAATAACCACTCGTTACAACCGAGGTCTGCAGAATAGCATCTCTGAACGCACAACACGTCGAACTTTAAAGCAGATGGGACCACACTGGATCTCTTCTGTCAGCTAAGAACAGGAAACTGAGGCTACAGTTCACACAGGCTCAGCAAAACTGGACAATAGAAGACGGAAAAACGTTGCCTGGTCTGATGAGTCTCGATTTCAGCTGCGACATTCAGATGGTAGGGTCAGGGTGTGAACAACATGAAAGCATGGATCCATCCTGACTTATATCAACAGTTCAGGCTGGTGGAGGTGGTGTAATGGTGTGGGGGGAATTTTCTTGACACACTTTGGGCCCCTTAGTACAAACTGAGCATCGTTCAAACCCGACAGCCTACCTGAGCATTGTTTCTGACCATGTCCATCCCTTTATGGCCACCATGTACCCATCCTCTGATGGCTACTTCCAGCAGGATAATGCACCATGTCACAGAGCTCAAATCATTTCAAAGTTGTTTCTTGAACATGACAGTGAGTTCACTGAACTCCAACGGCCTCCACAGTCACCAGATCTCAATCCAATAGAGCACTTTTTGGATGTGGTGGAACGCCAACAAATCTGCAGCAACTGTTTGATGCTATCATGTCAATATGGACCAAAATCTCTGAGGAATGTTTCCAACACCTTGTTGAAGGATTATGGCAGTTCTGAAGGCAAAAGGGGGTCCAACCCGGTACTAGCAAGGTGTACCTAATAAAGTGTCCAGTGAGTGTATGTGCTGCTGCTTCTGCTGTTACTCTCTGAATTCACTGAAGGAAAGAAATGTATGCCATCCACTCTGAAGCTGAAAGTAAAAACATCACCACTGGAGTAAATAAAGCACAGAGGCTCCGTTTCATTTAGTAAAGAGGGCTGACGCTATCATCAGCGCTATTCCAGAAGCGACCTGAGGCTTGTGTCTGGGCAGCAGATAGTTCTATAACTGTGTTATTGTCACTTCAATTCAATTCAGTTCAATTTTATTTATATAGCGCCAAATCACAACAACAGTTATCTCACAGCGTTTTTCATAAAAGAGCAGGTCTAGACCGTACTCTGTGATGTTATTTACAGAAGCCCAACAGTTCCCACCAAGAGCAAGCACTAGGCGACAGAGGCAAGGAAAAACTTCCTTTTAAGAGGCAGAAACCTCGAGCAGAACCATGACTCAGGGTGGGCGGCCATGTGCCTCGACCGGTTGGGGGCGAAGGAGAGAGAGAGAGAGCGAGAGAGAGAGCGAGAGCGAGAGCGAGAGAGAGAGAGGGGAGGGAGGCAGTCTACACAATATACACACAGAGGTACAGACAGTAAAGGTGATGTTGCTATAGACTAAATGAAAAATGGTACAGATATTTATAGTAGTGTTAATGATAACAGTCGTAATGTTAATGATTATAATAACAATAATAACAATAAGACTAGCAACAATAGTCGTTGCAGCAGAGGGTGTCGAGCAGGAACACGGGGGCAGCAGGTGACCCGCAACCACAGATCCAGACTCCACAGCTCCAGAGCCAGAAACACCTGCAGGAAGTGATAGGAGGAGAGAGGAGAGAGACGAGAAAGCACAAGACTACCAGAAAGGGGAGAAGTTGTGTTAGTAACATGCAATAATGGGATGAGGTTGCATACAGAGGGAGAGAAAGTAGAGGAGAGAGGAGCTCAGTGCATCATGGGAAATCCCCTGGCAGTCTAGGCCTATAGCAGCATAACTAAGGAAATGGTTCAGGACTCACCTGAGCCGCTCTCCTGACTCTCCTGATCAAAGATAACTCCAAGATTCCTCACAGTGGTGCTGGAGGCCAGGGCGATGCCATCAAGGGAAACTATATCTTTAGATAATGCATCACGGAGGTGCTTAGGCCCCAGAACAATAACTCCAGTTTTATCTGAGTTTAACATTAGAAAGTTACAGGTCATCCAGGTTTTAACATCCTGAAGGCACATTTGAAGTTTAGCTAACTGATGAGTTTCATCTGGCTTGATCGATAGATATAACTGAGTATCATCTGCATAACAATGAAAGTTTATATTTCCTGATAATATTGCCTAAGGGAAGCATATATAAAGTGAACAGGACTGGTCCGAGGACAGATCCCTGAGGAACTCCATGACTAACGTTGGCGTGCATGGAGGACTCATCGTCAACATGTAAAACTGAAATCGATCTGATAAATAGGACTTAAACCAGCTTAGAGCGGTTCCTTTAATGCCAATGAAATGTTCCAGTCTCTGCAATAGGATCTGATGGTCAATGGTATCAAATGCAGCACTAAGATCTATTAAAACCAGTACAGAGACAAGTCCTTTGTCTGATGCAATGAGGAGGTCATTAGTAATTTTCACCAGTGCTGTCTCTGTGCTATGATGAACTCTAAATCCTGATTAATCATATCTAGTATAGAAGTGCTGACTAAGGGTAAAACATCTTTAAACAACCTAGTCAGGATGGGGTCTAAGAGGCAGGTTGATGGTTTAGATGAAGAAATTATTGAAGTTAGTTGGTAAAGATTGAGGGAGGCAAAACAGTCTAAACATATATCTGGTTTTACAGCGGTTTCTAAGGTTCCTGAGTTTAGAGATAAGTCAGTGCCAGTTGAGGGCAGGTCTTGGTGAATTTTGTTTCTAATAGTTATATATAATATTATATAGAATTTTATCATTAAAGAAGCTCATGAAGTCGTAACTACTGAGAACTATGGGAATACTTGGCTCAATAGAGCTATGACTCTCTGTCAGCCTGGCTACAGTGCTGAAAAGAAACCTGGGGTTGTTCTCCTATTTTCCACTAATAATGAAGAGTAGTACACTGCTCTGGCATTACGGAGGGCCTTACATGTACAAGCTTCATGTGGTTGATTTCTGAAATTCCAAAAGGATATTTAAGGACTGCTGTGTCTTGTTTTATTGCTGTGTGATGATTGTGTCCAGTACCACCCGCTGGGCCATGACCACTTTGTTACTATTACTGTGTTAAAATTGTATTTGTATAGTACCTTCCAAACACACCATTAAAACAATGAGATTAAAAGAGAAATGTATTGGACTGGGCTTAAAACATTTATTAGTTAAATAGAAATTTATAAAGGTTTAAAAGGCCTCAGAGAGCAGGAATGTTTTAAGACGTGACTTAAAGGACTGTAAGGTGCTAGAGAGTGCTAGGAGCATAAAAACAGAAAGCTGTTTCTCCATGTTTTGTTCTCGAGAAGGGAATTACAAGCAGCCCAGCATCTGAAGACCTGAGGGGTCTAGCAGGTTCCTGCTTTTGAAGGAGGTCATTGATGTAAACTGGCCCTAGCCCATTGAGTGCCTGATAAACAAGCAACAAAACATTAAACTTGATTCTTTCACTCACTGGAAGCCAATGAAGTGATCTCAAAACTGGAGTGATGTCTAGTTC